CCCAACAGAGTGCCAAAGGTAGGATACCTACCAAACTTAAAAGCTTGTAAACTGAAGTTAACATCCATATTTTAATATACAGAAAACTACATTTTAAAAATTCATGCTTTTAAAATACTCATTTAAATAGAATAAAAGATGCTTATGCTTGTTAATTAATATAAGACAATGCATGGTTTATAATAATACAGTTTAAAAAAAACAAGGCTGCATTGTTTAGAACTTGATACCCATTGCTATGAGAGACTTAGAATAAAATAAAGTGATATGCTATTTAATTTTTCAGATGGAGGTCTTGATATGTTGCCTAGGTTGGGCTTGATCTCCTGGGCTCAAGGGATCTCCTACCTCAGCCTCCAAAGTAGTTGGAGCTAAAGGCACATGCCACAGCACCCAGCTCACCTTTCACTTAACTGAAAGTAGTTCTCAATCCTGGCTATTCACTTTCATCACCTGGGGAGCTTTAAAACTGCTAATGCCATAGGATCAGACCCCAAAAATTCTAGTTTAATTGGGATGAAGTGGGTCCCAAGCATCAGAATATTCTCCCTGGTGATTTTAACATATAGCCAGGTTAAAGTGGATGAATTTTATCCACTGGTTTGCATTTACTGAACAGTTTTTACCTGATTATTCTGTTTCAGTGTTTTATCATGGTTTTTTTATTTAGTAAGTCTCTTAAATAGCTATCAAAATATAACCAGATTACAAAAGGCCTACAATAGGGAAATGGAGCTTTTGTCACTAAGAGAATAACTTTGTAGTCAATCTAGGAAAAGGCCAATAATGTGCTTCATGGAATTCTCTCTATGGGCTTAGGGTCTTATGAGTTCACACTGCTCAAGTTATTCCAATAGGAATATCCAATTAAATATCCAATAGGTTAAGAACCCTCACAGATTCATAAGGAAAAACAATAGCAACAAACCACACACCAGAGGAAAATGTGAAAACAACAAGAATAAACTGTTTATCAAAAAAATACAAATGACCAAACATGATTTTTCAACTTTACTGTATTGATCAAAGAAATGCAAATTACTATAAGATACAATTCTTCTACTTCATCAGCAAGATTTTCTAAAAATAAATACTCAATAGCAAGAATATAATGGACAGACATCCAAAACTCCTGGATAGAATAAAATATATTTTATTATTTACTTATTTTTGTGTGGTACTGGGGAACGATCCCAGGGTCTCATGCGTGCTAAGCAAGTGCTCACTGATCCACATTTCCATCCTAAACATTTAAAAAGCAGTAGGAAGTATAAGGTCAAGAGCCCTAGGTGTTCATACTCTTACTCATGATAGAAAGCTGTAAAAATAGCCCAAATGACCAACATAGAAGAAGTTATAGTTAGCTTAATTATTCAAAATCCAAATATCCTAGATAATAGCATTTTGGTTAAAGGCTCAAAATATAACTTTAAAAGGAAAAGGAAATAGAAGCATTATCTAGTGACAAATTTTGTTATATTTTATGGAACGAAACATACTCAAATGTTGACAAAAGTGAATCTATGGGTGACTTTAATATTTTACTTCACAGTTTTCCATTTCCAAAACTTTCTACAAAGAATTTACCACTTCAAAAGAAATGTTGTTGTTGTTATTGTTTTAACTTCCAAGTAACAGTAAATTGATCAAGTATAATAATCTCTACCACAGGAAAAAGTGTGAGGTAAGACAACAGCTTGTCATGATACATTCAATACATAAATCTGGTGAATAATGGGTGCTGGGATCCTAGCTTCAGCAGACTGAGCTACTCTGATTTGCTCATGTGGATTGAGAGAATTCAGGTGACCTTAAACAGCTGTCTTCAACAACATCTCTGACATTCTTCAAGAGAGAAAACTAAGTGAGACAAATGTCTCTTACCTATTACAATGGGTACCATTTTTGGAACCCTACTCTAGGTATTTTATCTGGTATACCATTAGACACACAAAAGCAAGCAATTATAGCCAAGACAAGATGAAGCTACCTGGGGTTCACCCTATGTTAATTATGAAATTTTTTTCCTGCTGCCCATGTACACTGATGTACATGTCTATTCACAGAATGAATTTCTTGAACTGAATGGAGTCTAACGCCCATTATTCATATTAAAAAATCAAAATCCCTCCAACAGCTTATTTTATAGAGTTAAGGAGTGATTTTACAGAGAGACTGCCCCCCTCATGAAAAATAATGCTCCAATCATGGAAATACATAAAACACACCAAAAAATCTGTAAAGATGAATCAGACACTTGATAAAAGTCATGAATAACCATTTTGACATTAATTCACTACAAAATACTACAAATTTTACTATAAAATACTCTTGGATCATTTCTAAGTCACCCAAATGAAAGAATTGCCAGAATTATCTTGGTATGATATCTCCAAACAGATTATTATAACATCCATATTCCCAAAACCTTCAAGAAGAAAATGCTCAAATGCTAATAACAAGCCACCTGTCAGTTAACTGATATTATTTTTTAAAACCTTAATAAGCATCTGTTGCCTAGATATCAAAATAAATTATTAAGCTTGATCATGCACTATATTAGTCTACATCATTATTTGCACTTTTTAAAAGAAAATGCACTAATTGTTATATTACTTGGCATAAGAGTACATTCAAGATAATTCCTTCAACTTTTATGCTGCTGCCAAAATCTTATAAAGCATTTTCTGAATTATCGACTTGGTTGAACCTTGATGAAACAGCATGTAGTAAGAAGTTTTTACTTTTCCCCTTGGTTTCCATTCTGTGTAAACAGCTGGATGCAAATTTCAACATCCAAGATATTCTCTTAGGCACATCCAGTTTAAGTTTCCCTGAATGTCCATGTTATTCACTCAAGTTAGTTCATAACACAACTTTTCAACAATTGCTCTTGCTATATGGTTGAACATGTCTCCCCTCTTGCCCAAAGTCATAATCAACTCAGGAAACTAAAGTATACCTAATTTACATTAAAAATGCATGATGCAAAATTTTTCAGAGATAACAATATAGACAGTTGACCTGAAGTTTCTAATATTTAAACTCTAGGTTGTTCCATCTTTGCTGCTTTGCATAATAACAGAAAAGACCATTCATAGTTGTCTTATATGAATGGCACTTCCCCCGCAAAATTATGCAGTGCCCAACATAGGTAGTCGTATACGTGGGTCTGCACCTTAAACTGTCATTTGATTCTTCATCATTACCTTAGAAAACTCTACATATTTCCAAAAGCCAAAAATTCACTAAATAGTATAAAAAAAATAAAAACTATAGATTCAGATTAATTTACTTTGGTGTTTGATTAGTATACAATTCAGAATAGATAAGAAAGAGACTACTGGTGTTTTAGAGGTTTTAAACAATGGTCAAGTAGTCAAATATGACTAAAGCATACCTAAGCTATTTAAATAAGCCAAACAGGGAGAATTACCCATGAAGATATTTATCATGGCACTTCTACAATGGGGTTCCACCTTCAAAGAGAATTCTGTCCACTCATCTTCTCCCCTTCCATAAAAAGGGTCATGTATTGGGACGTTACATAAAAACTATTTGGTTAGTGGAATGAAAGACTGTTCAAGAGAGCTATCATGATCTTGATTAATACAGCAGAACAGAATATAAGAATGCATGAGAACAGGATATAAAAATTCATGAACAATTTATGGGTGTTAATAAGGCTTTCTTAAAAACATTACTAACTCTAAAATTGAAATATACCTAGAACCTACCTTAGAACAACCCTGAAGTCTGCTTCTCTAATGAGCTTTATGTAAATTCCCTCTGAGTGTTTTTTATACAAGGAACTACCAAATGAATTTTCAAGAGATATTCAAAGAATAAAAAGCATTTCTAAAGACTGTTTAAAATTCATAATTTCATATGGATGAAGCTTTTATTTGTAAATTGAACACCTATAAAGTGCTTCTAAAACCAATCATTCTTATTGATGAATTTATATAAGTTTGGTTAGTTATAGGCTTAATTAACCAATATGATTTTTCTTGAAATATCCTTTGTATATCAGCAATATGCTGTCTTTGTGTGTAGAAACAGAAAACTAGGGGGGAAGCATAGTCACCTATAAAACTTTAGAAAACCAAAATCTCCCCCTCTTTAATGCAGCAATAAACAATATTATCATGATCTATTAAACATTAGGTAGTTTACAAAATTTTTCTAATCATCAGTCTTGACCAGTGAGAATTTCCCACTTCAAAATCATTCATATATCATCTTTCTTCCACTATGAAATTTCAAGACTGTCTCTGTCATAGTACACAGTATCAGATGTGATAATACAGGGAAAGGAGAAATGTCAAACATGTAATAAATTACAGACCCTTACACCAATGACAGCTGGAACAAATAAATTTCCAACAAACTTTATAAAGCTTTGGGGATTAACGGGAAATTCTGCCAAAAAAAAAAAAAATCTGTCCAATGTGAGTATGCAACAAAGATAACTAGTTTATCATTCATAATTGGGGGAAAACATAAAATTACCATTTTAGGAGGAGCAGTTCTTAGAAAACTTTAATGAAAGACAGAACGTGTCATTTCAGACACATAGTGCAGTGACTATATAATAAAGCAAGTTGCCTATTCCTGAGGAAAACATACTTCATAATAATGCTGAATAGTAAATGTTAAATCTAAGCCGTGCTAGAAAGGCAAAGATGGGAGTTCAGGTAATGTATTACAGAGAAAGAGACTTGTGAGAAATTCCATTACTTAAAAAATAATCTTGTCCCTACCAGTAACAACTTAAATAATTTTTCTGCTGATGTGCTAAAGTGCACTGGAAACCTCAGAAAAGGTTTGGTGTTTTTTGTTTTTTTAATTGGCCACATCTTGTTAACAGACTGCAGTCTTCAAATTTACTCAGAGCTGCAGGTCTCTTGGATTTTTTCAAGTGTCACTCATCTAACTGAGCCTGACAGCTGAGAAATGCCATCAGCTGCTTTACAGTCAGTTTAAAAAACATCCTCTACCTGGTATCTCTGCAGTGATTGTCTTGCTGCTCCCTGAAACCTCTTCATCATCATCTGAGGAGCTTGTACTTGAGTCACAAGTCAGGTCACTGTCACTGGTACTACTGTCCTGCAGCAAGTTGTACTTCTTTCTCGCAGCAGCCTCTCGTTTCTGCCTCAGTAGTCTGATCCGCTCCTTGTGCTTTTGGCTCCGATGACCTTTAACCTTGGCAACTCGGCCATTCTGTTTATCACTGGATTGCCGGTTTTTCTTGGCAGCCATAGTAGATGTTTCACTTTCAGAACGGGATCGCCTAGACTTACGCCCAACTGTGGCACCAGACACTCCAGAAGGGTCTCCTTCCACTGCTGTTTCTGCCTGGGAGGGTTCATTTTCTTCTGCAGAAGACAATGTATCTGAATCAGCCAGGTGACCACTAGAGGAAGGGGAAAGCATGCAATGATTAGAGGAGTCACTCTCATAAACTCGACCAGTTGTCGGCTTGTCACTCTCTGTGGATGCTAACTGAGACTCAGAAGAGTCTCTTCTCAGTTCCATCAACAAGCAAGGCATTGAAGAAAGAACTGCAGAATCTGCTACACCATCTTTCTGAACTTGAGATTCCAGTTCTACAGATCCGTCTTCCTCCTTGGCTGTCTCTTGTTCAGATGTTTTCGGTGGGACTTCAGACTCAATGAGTTCTTCAACTTTTCCCACTGCCTCTTCCATCTTCATTTCAGAATTTCAAGTTAAATCATGGAGCAGAGTCTAGGAAACGATATCAAAGATGCAACAGGAAAGCAACCTGTACAAAAACACACAAAATCAATAAAAAGAAATGGAGGATTATTTATTCAACAAACATGCCCACTTTCTAAGATTTTCTAACCAAAATTACCATTTGAAGGCCTTAAAATATTATATGTCCTTATTCATTTGCTTTAAACAGTCTGAAAATTCAAAGAGCTTAGCAAAATCCTAACAAATTCAACTACTAAGAAGGGCACATTATTCCACTATTACTAAACTTACAAACCAGCAAATAAACAAGAATTTTCAAGTTTAGAACTTTAAATAAATAGAAAAAAGATCTTCAAAACTCTGATGTACTTAATGTGTATATTTGACTTTAATATAAATGAAAAAGAACACCTTAAAAAAAAAAAGTAGTCTGAGGGCTGAAGCTGTAGCTCAGTGGCAGAGTGCCAGCATTGCATGTGAGAGGCACTGGGTTCAATCCTCAGCACCACATAAAAATAAATACATAAAGGTATTGAATCCATCTACAACAAAAAAATTTTTAAAAAGTAGCAAGGTAAACTCTTTTTTACAAAACAATGCATGCTTTACATGCATTTGACAAATGAGCAACCCAAGTATGCATATCAAACCTGTCTGTACCCACAACCCTCCCGGTAAGACTGCTCAAAAGTAGCATTAAAACGAATGGCCAGATTCACTGTTCCCTTGGTCCTTCCTAGTTCCCGTATCTCTCTCATGCTGAATTTGAGTAATGTCTAAGCAACCCCCCCCCAATAAATAATGGCCTCTAAATACAGTTCAACTACTTTGTGAACCCAAGAAACTCTACTCTATGAATGACTCTAAAGGGTTTAAGAGAAGGCATCCTACACACATTTTACACCTTACATGCTAAATTTAGAATTTAACACCCACACCACCACTGTGAATAATATAACTCTAATTAATCATGAAGAAACAGTCCAAAGGAAGTGGGCGAATGGAAGGAAGGCAGGGAGGGAAAGAGGCAGGGATAAGTAATCTTTAACCACAAGAGTCTATGACCTATATAGTGCAGATTTCATTAACTGGTAAGTTTTTAAGAGGATGCTAAGAATGTGCAACACAAGTCAATATCTTGCCTGCCGATGGAACATTACAGAGGGCAAAAACCATCATGTTCCATAAATCACAGACACAACATTAATCTAATGCTAGTCATGTGCACTGTGGCAAATTTATCAGTTGACTCTACCAAGTTACCTGATGGTTCAACTTATAATAGAAGATAACCCAAAAAAATCTGAAAAATTCTTTTATTGGTCTAACAGGCTAAGCCTTTTTGTTAATACAAACAGAGATATTCTATACCTGTTTTTATTTTTCATAGCCCTGTTCTCAACTGCTAATAAAACAGGAATTCTGATAGGTTTCCTTAATACTTTTATGAAAACCAGAACATTCGTAGCTACTGGAATATTTTATTAGGTTTAAAATACTCCCATGGGGGGCTGGAGTTGTGGCTCAGTGGTAGAATGCTCGACTGGCATGCGTGAGGCACTGGGTTCCATAATCTTTAGCACCACATAAAAATAAATAAAGTTAATGTACTGTGTCCAACTAAAGAAAAAAATATTTTAAAAAATACTCCCATGGATAGCCTACTTCATAAGCATATTTGTATCATTACTAATTTTTCAATTAAATGAAAATAAGCATAAATGTTTTTCCTAATACTGTTTCAAAAGTAATGTAACACTTTTGAAAGCCAACAGAGTAAAAGTTAAAACAACAAATTTAAAGTGTCATAAATGAAGTATGTTTGCAATACAAACATGAAAAAAAATTGTGGATTTAAAATACCTACCACGCACAAAGAATTAACCCTAGATTTTCTAACAATGAGTGTTTGATGTTGGTCATGGTGGTGCAAATCTGTAATCCCAGCAACTCAGGAGGCTTATAGAATCACAAATTCAAAGCCAGTCTGGGCAATTTAGCAAGACTCTGTCTCAAAATAAAAATAAAGAGTTCAGTGGTAGAGCACTTGCCTAGCATGTGTGAAGCCCTGGATTCAATTCCCAGCAACAAAAAAAGAAAATTGATTTTTCTGTTGACATATAACCAGGTGACCAATAGAGGAAGGGGAAAGCATGCAATGATTAGAGGAATCACTCTAATAAACTTGACCAGTTGTCGGCCTGTCACTTTCTGTGGATGCTAATTGAGACTCACTATATATATAAAGTGAAATACAGATATTCTTTCCTTAAAATTAAAATACCTGAGAAATATAATGAAATGAAATTAATATCAATCATAAATAACAAACATCAAGCCTCTACTTTTTTAAAGAAGGCAGCACTTTTCAAGGAAGGACCTTTTCAAAATATCACAATACAATGTCATGTTGAAAAATAAAATTTACTGCCCCATTTATTCAGAAACTGCCAAGGGGGTTGGTCCTTCCAAAGAAGCTAAGGCTTTGTTGGGGCTCTCACTTAATCTGGAGATAAGTGTCATGGAGTCCAGCACTGCCCCACCATGGTCTTCTGATCTCCGATATCACCTAGATCTACATTACTCTCCTTATGCAGGACAATGAGGTAATCTATACAGAGAATACCATCAAGGTTGTCACAAGAGCAGCTAGTAGAAATGTAGACCTTTTTGGCCTGGCTTATTTGCAAACGCCCTGGCCAAAGTCTACATTGGTAGCCTCCTTGGTAACATAAGTGATGCTAAACCTGCTCTAGCTTCTGGTGCTACATCAGCAAGTCCTCCTCCAGGTGAGAAGAAAGTGGAAACAAAGAATCTGAGGAGTCTCATGATGACGTGGGCTTTGGTCTTTTCAACCAAATTTCTTTTGTAAATGTTTAATAAAAAGATGAAAAATAAATTTGCTGAACTACCATAACTCTTATTTCTTCTGGAAACAAGTTGTGTGGGTAGACAAATGAATATAGACTTTTTCTTAAAAGAAAAATGATAATACCAATTATTTTCAATAAGGCCCATTAATCAAATGATCTTTCAAGTTCCTTAAATTTAAGTATTAAGTGAGATTTAAATTTCTGCTGTATAAATAAGCAACCAGAATTGTGGTCAAAACCACTTACATTTGCCCAAATCAACCACAGAAGACTAACATCAACCATAAACAGGATACCAGTTAGCTCATTATGGCATGTCCATACAACAGGGCCACAAGAATGAGAAAGCTCTTTATATAGTGACATGGAGCAATTCTCATGAACAAAATTTAAAGGAACAAAAGAGATAATTATACAATTTGTATAAAGGCAATTATATTTATTTATGTGAATTTGTTTGTAGAAGCACAGAATCTCTGGTAATGCCAGCTGCTCTGGTAAGGAAAAAGTGGATAAAGAAATAGGAATAGAAGATTTGGTACTGTACTTAGTTTTGTACCTCTTGAATTCTATATTACAAAAAATCGTCTTTTACTCCTCTCTGACATAAAAATTTTCTGAAAAATCTTCTGAATAAAAGGGAGCTATGCTTTTTTTTCTGGCCCTGACACCAAACTACTTTTGGGTCAATTTTATTCAGTGAATTCTACTAGGCTTTCTCCTTATTGTACAAATTTAATTAAATATAAGCAGGGGAAAGTTATCAGAGGTGGAAAACCAAGCTCTGACAAAACTCCCTATAGTGGAATTAAATTGAAATTCCCTAAATACAAGAGGAAAAGATGTCATACATAGAGTTTAATTTTTCCCAATCACCAGACTACTTATTGCACAGATTGGTTTGGTTGAGGGAGGCTGTTTTTGATAGGGATAGTGAAGTAGATGGCAATAGAAAGCGATAAGATTATCAAATGGGAATTGCATCAGGTAAATGAGTTGAAAGGCTCTTGAACTTTCTGGGTTAATGTTTGCAGTGAATTTCTAAATATGCAACATATTTCTTATTAGAACAGCATTTTCTCCCATGCTGTTCTTCCCTCAATCTAAAGGTGAGACCCCTTCTTCTACAGGTATTAGAGTTCAACTACTTATGTCCCTATAACCTTACATCATTATTGTTACTTGGTTCTCATCAACCTCTCACACTCAACTGGACCACTCATTCATTCACTCATCTCTGAAATTCTTTTCTTACCACCACTTCAATCTCATATCTCCTTCTCCAGGTATTACTCTCTTCTTTCCCAAGATATTTCACTATTTTGTTGTCAGAACACAAAAGATCCCAAACTGATCACTGGAGTAATCATTTGACTAACCCTCTTTCACCACATTAAAGGTTCCAACCCTGAGTTACCTAGTGAAGCACAAAACTACAGAAAATCTTTTCTACCATGGTATAATGTAGGTACTAAAGAAGAAATGATTACAGAATTTAGTTCGTTACTCCAGGAATCTTTTTTTTGTTTTGTTTCTTTTGGGGGGGTTGGGGGGAGGTAAACTGGGATTGAACCCAGGGGTGCTTAACCACTGAGCCACATCCCAGCCAGTTTGATTTTTTGAGACAGGGTCTCGCTAAGTTGCTGAGCTGGCTTTCAACTTGCAATCTTCTAGAGCCAAGCCACTGGGATTACAGGTATGCTCTATTGCACCCAGATCTAGGAATCTGGAGCAGAGGCTATTGCTCCACAGCAGTACTCATTCAATTCTCTTGCTAGAGTGACTTTAGTTAACAGAATAGCTCATGATTATTTCCTGGCCGACCAAGGTGAAGTCTGTGTTGTACTTGGATCATTCCTCTAGGTAAGATGATACCCAAACAGACAAAAGAACAAGGCACATGGCTACTAATCTCACTCAGTCCCCCTTGATCTTTTGTTATTTGTTTCTGTTTGTTGTTTTTGTTTGTTTGTTTGTGATACTGGGGACTGAACTCAAGGACTGCGTGGTACATGCCAGGGCAAATGCTCTACCATTGACCATGGTACCTGGTTGCCTGTCAAATTTCTGAAGAAATACAACTTCTAACAGAATAGTGCTGGCCAAACACTTTACAATGATAGCTAACTGACAATGTTATGATAAAACTAAACTTGACAGTAAAATCCAGGTGGAGTAGCCTGAGAGCTTT